TCCTAGCATCACTTGTATTTGTCGTCTTGTGAAAAACAACAGCCAAATGATGACTGTAATTGCTGCAAATGCAGAGTTTTGCCAATACCTGTTGTTTTGAATTCCTCTTTCAGTGCTGTCCCTCCCCACGCCCCACCGTCCTGTGGTTTTGCGCATGTATTTGGGTGCCCTGGTCTCCTAGCTTTCTTTCATCCCTATTTGGAGATTTTTCAAATTTCTTTTCTACTGCTGAGAAGGCATCAGCAGGAGAGCGGAACCTTTTCAAAAGTCTCAGCCAAGCGGCATTTACATTTGCAGCAGCTACTGTCTCTGGTTATGAGGTGGTCATTTGTGTCAGAGATCATATTTGTATGAAACATCAAAAGGAAGAGATGGCTGCCTAGGATAAGTGCTGCTTTGATTTGTGCAGGTATATTTTTTAAATGATGTGGTTTCATTGTTCGCAGTTAGGGATCCCCTCCCCCTATCTCAGGTGGCCAGGCTGACCGGAGAATACCGTTTGGCGCAGGAATAAAATGGGACACAGTTTTCATTTGCAATTTTATTTTTTAAAAATGAAATATTCAAAGTACTTTTCTTTCAAATATCGACACATAATGTTTGACTTTAAATATTTACAGCATGTTGTTGTGATGCTCTTGTAGAAAAATGCATGCTTCTGGCCTGAAAGCCAGAGCAAAATGCAAAAGACCATTTAACTGCAGCCAGAGAACATGAACCTGTACAGTATCCAGTCACTTTTCAGCACAGGAGTGAGAGCAGGAATACAGAATTGGAACCTATTGTTTCCCTAGCAACATGGCTCAGGCCATTAGAACACAATATCAGTATGATTCGAACCTCTAACTGTTGTTATATAGAAACTGAAAATCTTGGCATACACTGTAAACATCTTTACTTTTCATGAGAAAGTAAGCAGCTAAAAATGTTTTTCTGACATAAAGGCTATGCTTCTCTCTCCCTCCCTCTCTCTCTCTCTCTTTTTCTTTTTTTTTGGCCTTCTCTCATACTGATACTTTCGTCCGAATAGTAAAGATTTAGACATTGTCATGATCCATACAAGTAAAATATTTTTCAAGGACACACTCTGATAGACTAACATTTATTTAAGAGGTTAAAGTCCACCACTAAATCTAAAGAAAGATTTTTAACTGCCAAACACATTTCCTTTGACAAATAATGTAAGATGACAACTGCCAAGACAAAATCCACAGCAAGTTTAACTCTAAGTATTTTTCAGTTACTGTTTAGGAAGTAATTTCTTACACACAGTAATATATTTGGTCCTTAATAGCTTTCACATAAAGGACACACTGAAATAATAGTCACTATTTTGTGGTTGAATTCTTTTTGTTGTTGTTGTTTTCTATTTTTTTGTTTTCTTTGCTTTTTTATTTTTTGTATTTTTTTTTGTATTTTTTTTGTTTTTGTTTTTTTTTTGCAGAGTAAAGAACCTTACAGAAGGCTGTGGAAGAGCAGTGTGAGATCTGAAGTACTAGTCAGGTCACCTATGTGTATGTGAGTTCCTCCAAGAAAAGAATGTTGTGTATAATCTGTAACATTTTCCACAAGTTATCATAAACTTCTATCTCTCTAAAGCTTTAGTTCAATACTTGACTGCTGTATTTTGGTTTTCATTTCTACCAAATGCTATTACAATTGCCCTTCCATGAACATATCTTTGTAAATGCAAAAACTTTGCCATGACTGTGTACAGGTGATATTATGATGGGGCCTGGTCTCGTTAAAATATCATTTTTACAGAGAAAAGAAAAAGGGAAGAAATAACGTGATGTAATGCCTGAAACTCTCAATAGTAATGAAGAAGAAAAACTTCATGAAAAGTAGAACTTAATTTTATACCTCTCTGTAGGTAGCAAGAAAATTATAAATTATACTTTGTCAAGTGCTCATATATTTGGTTATATTATATGTGTGTAGTCTATATATTATAGATCTTCTACATAAATTGATAAAGAACACACTTTTATTTTACACACAATTTTGGGGGTTAAAAATAGAACATATATTTTACTTCTGTGGTGTTTTGTTGAAAGTATTATTTTGAGCTTTATTTCCTTGCCTTCTGCAGTTATACTTCTAATCAATAATGATTAGAATGAGAACTACAATGAGGCATATTTAAATGTCCATTAGACTTTGAATTTTCAGCTCATTTGGATCTCTAGATTGCAGTGCAAGAGTAAAACAAAACAAAACAAACTAGTACAAATAAAATGAGTCCAACCAGGAAAACAACCATGGAGTATTCCCTGCCTCCATCCCAGAGTGCTCCTTCATAGGCGAATCCAAGTGCTATGCTCCCACATTAAATTACTTGAATGGCTGTGGGGTGTCAGTCACCTGTCTTCTGGGTATGAGAAATTCATGTATGTTTTTTAAAACTGATTTTCATCAGGAAATGCAAATGAATTGCTTTTGCACTAATTTAAACTTCAGAGCAACAAGCCAATGAAGGTGTTATTTCTATTCAAATAGGAAGCGATGTAATTTATATCTCCATGTTCATATTAAGAAATGACAAAATGTTTCTCTTAGATTGACTACTCATTGGTGTTAATGTTTTGGTTTATTTTTCTTTGTTCCCCCAAAACTTTAAGAGTCGTAAAGAGAACAGTAAGAGTTCAAGGAAGTATTAAAACCACAGCCATAAGTGATAAAAAGTGCATTTCCTGAATATAATACAAATAGAACTTTAAGAAACTAAAGGCACAAACTAACTAAATGTGTATTACAAACTAGAAATGCACAGTTCAAGGTAATTACTATTAAGTAAAAGTTTCAAATATGCATTTCTGAAGGATATTTAAAGCAGTTTGAAAGTGGTACATCATCAGTGAATTGCAAAAAGTATAATTGCTTAAAGTATAAGCAAAATAGACTCCAATACTGATATCTTGAATTAGTGATAAAGTACGAAGACACATATGAATGCAGTCCTTATATACAGTTCACAAATTGTGTTTTCATCTATTTAAAAGAACATTAGAGGTTCTAGGAACTTAAGGTTCATTTTTAGGTTGATGTGGAGGTATTCAAATTCCCGACAAGTTTGTTAGTAGTTAAAAATTTCATCTTGAATAAATACTGTGCCAAGCCTGACTTGGGAAAAACTCAATACTATGATTTTTGTCTGGATTAGCAATATCTTGACCTAGTGCACCTCAATTGCCAAGAGGGATGTGCTCATGGTGATCTCTCCCCGCCTCCCATCACTTCCCCTTCTCAGTTTCAATACATGTAGAAGAATGTGATTATCCAACTGCAAGGCTTTGAAAAGGAAATGCTTGATGATACTGTCCCCTAATCCTGCTGAGATCCCCCCCACCCGCCTCTTTTCCTTCACTCTCCTTTATGCAGTGTGAGTCCAACTCTTTGAAAAACATGCGAAGTCAGGATCCAGGCCCCTGTTAATATTTTTAAAGAAACTGTCATCACATAGCAAGGCAATGACCCCGTACTGTATTTAGATAGCAGCTGGAAGGAATCCAGACTAATATTCCATCTTAAATTCTCCTTCACACACAGCGAATGTGCAGACTTGCTGGTGAAGGGGTAGCAGTGGGCTCAGGGGGATTCGCTCTGGGTCATGTGGTGCTGGATTTTCATTTGTGGTCACTCAATGACACAGCATTTTACAAATTCTTTGTCACTAGACACAAATCTCCCAGCTTGCTGCAGGCTTCTTAGAGATTGAGCAACTGTAGCTAATCTTCACACTCACCCTGACCCTATTTCCAATTTTTAAATGATCACACATGGATAACTTGTTCTGGAAAATAGTCATTTTCCTAGGCAGGAGAAACAATCTATTAAAAAAAAGTGGGTAAAGATGGAACTAGAAGAGCTAGCTGTATGAATTATGCTAGGAAAATCTACTGCGTGTGGAGTTGTGATGTTCTGGGTTGGAAAGGATTCACTTAATTTCCCAAATGTGGCTGGGAGATGTGCAAGACGGACTATGTTTGAAAGAAAAGTGGACTGAAACAATGTGGCAACTACTGTGATGTTTGGTTTAGTCTTGCCTTTCACTTTACTACTAAGTCTATTTATTTTTAGATTTGGCTCTTAGGAATTTCAGCAGTTAACTATTAGTTAACATATTTATCAACATCTCCGGCACAAAGGGCCCACTAAAGCCCTGTTTTCTTTTTGTACCAGAATCATACTTGTTAGTAAATTACCTTTCACGTGCACAAAACCATTAGATTAGTGTACAAATACTGAATCACTGTTGGGAAACTAGGACCAAAGCACACCTTATATTGAAAGGAGAAATTCCTACCCAGTTTACTAAAAGCTATGTTTACATGACACTGAAACAGCTGCACACGGCTGGGTAACCACTTCAGCCAGAAGAGGTTGGGTGAGAGGTGTCACATGGGCCGGCTGCTTTGGTATCACGTACACACGAGTGAACAATGCCTCCTCGGGCTGCTCACCACAGCCCGAGGGAAGCATGGTAGGCAGAACCTGGCCCCCACACGCCAAAAACACAGTGCAACGACACGGCAGGTACTGGAACAAGCAAGGGGGAGGAATCCGGGAGGAAGGGCAAAAGGGGCCTGACTCTAGGAGGAGGTGGCTTGAGGACATTGTCCACTTCTTCTGAAGTTTGCTATACCAGATTTGGAAAACGGAAGGACAGTCTTTTGAGAGGCAAGATTCTGCTAGGATCGCACCACCGCCTTTGCACATAGCTCCCAAGTCCTACTGCCGGTTAAATGTGAACCTCGAATACTTTTGGCATACCAGGACCTAGGAATGGCTGGAGGAATTTCAAGCAGTGCTTTCCAAAAACCCTTTTTTTTTTCCAGTGGTTGGAGTTCTACTTGTGTTATTTTTGAATACTGCCACACAGGAACTAAAAACCTGTCATTTTGTAAAGAGTTTAAACAAACAATATTAAAATACCATCTTCCGTCACATTGAAAGGCAGTTGGATATGTTTTTTTTTTCCTCCATATTTACATATACAGAGTTCTGATCTAGAAAACCAATACAATAAACTGTTTTATGTTTTAAAAACAGGCAGTCTTTGGTGACGCAAAGGCAGAGATTGTTTCTGTTACCTCCTGCCTATTTCGCTCTGTCTCATAAAGTGAATATTGTTGGCACTGTCAGAAAGTTCCAGATACTGCTCAACAGACAACACAAAGTACCCATCATAACCTGGTACCCTCCCGGTGCTCAGCAGCTGCTGCTTTTCCCCCTCTGTCCACGCCCTGATGCCCTCCTCCCCTTCTTGCAGCCGTCTCTGTTCCTTAGTCCAGGCCTGGGCCACAGCACGCTGTCTGGCGATCTCCAACACGTGGTTCTTTTCTTCCTCCACAGTTGTCCCATAGCGGATGTTGAAGCACAGGGCCCCATGCTGGAGTTGAATATCTGCAAACCGTCTAGTCCTCCCATTCAACACAGAGGTCATCTGGGACACGGTGACATTGACCCCATTCTCCAGAATCCGCCTCCCCCCGGTATTACCAATAAGCACCAGGTCTTCCTCTAGAGACCCGAGCTTAATAAAATAGTGAGTATCCCTCCCCTCTATGGTAAAATGCAGGTTTTCCAGGTAATGAGCATTATTGAGAATGGCAGCAAGCCGCCTGCTATCTTCATTGGCTACTCCTATGATATCAGCTGTTACTATGCCATCCTTGATGGCAAACTTTATACCTTTTCCGAAAACAGAAGGGACAGCAGCAAACCGAGGTTGCTTCCCTCCTTCAAGGCACCGTCTGTCATTGTATCGGGGAGTCATGGGAAGTTGGTCCAGGGAGATGAAATTCCTTAGTTGTTTCTGGAGTTCACACTGAATTCCCAGAATGGTCTAGGAAAGGAAAAAAAAAAAAGGCCCAGTTCAAATGCAGCATAGTCAGACACCTGGTGACTCTGTAAAAGAGGGGCTTGCAAGGTCTCTGCCTCTGCTCTTGAATGTCTTGGTTAGCGTTCTAAAAACAAGCCCAATTTTGGAGCCTTTTCACTAGACATAAAGAGAAGACTAACAGGTGCCTGATTACCTAGAGTTCTTAAATATTCGTTGAAGCAAACATGGAAAAATGATATTGGATTTTTCTGAGCCCAGAAGTATTTGCAGTGGATTCAGATCCCCTCAAAACACAGATCCTATGTTGTCAGCAGTGGTAATGACACCCACTAGATGTAGCTACTGCACATGCGTCTAGTACAATGAGGCATAGAGATGCTCATGTGCTGTAGCTCTGGCTTTCAGCAGCTTGTGATCTTACAGATGACTACAGCAAAGCAGTACAGAGTTCACTCATCTCCGTGTAGTTTAAAAGAACCTTTTTTTTAAAGAACTTCTGGTGGTTTTCAAACATCAATATCTAAAGAGAAAAGACGAATAAACCTCTGCGGATCATCATGAAGCATCAGCAATTTTCAGTGCTTGGCTTAACTTTTTTAATAAGGAATTTTTAATTATAGAAAATGCTTACATATATGTATTTGCAAAGTAGAATAAGCCTGTTGGATCTATTTAGAATTTACTTTCCCTTGCCATTTTTAGATTTAAAAAATGTAGTCTTACATGCAAATTTTAGTTTCACTTTTTTTACGCAAATGTATTCCCACTGCTTTCCATGGAAAGGAGGTCTTCCTGTTTGGATTTGTATCTCATACTTTAAATGACGTCATCAGTTAAATCTTGACTATTTTGCTATTCTTATTTGGTCCAGAGACTTTATCCCTGTAATATTTTTGCTGCATTGTTACACAATTTGTCAAGATAATTTTTCAAATCTCTCCGTGTTCTGAGAGATCATTCTTTAAATTATTTTACAGTTGGGACTCTGATAATTGGGGAAGGTGGTCATTTAGTTGTCATTATATTATTTTTTAAATGTTACAGACTTGTGAAAAGTGTACATATTTACAAGGTACAATCTTAATTTTTGTTATATGTATACACTGTATAATTCCAAATCAGGGTAAATGATCCTTTCGCGTGTTTAGCATTTCTTTCTAGTGAAAACACCTAAAACCCCATCTTGCACTTTTACTATGAGGAATCTATACCAACCCTCTCGTCTTTCCCTCCCCAGCCTCTGGTAGCCACTGCTATATTTTTAAATTCTATGAGACACTTCTTTAGCCTCCACATGAGTGAGGTCTTGTGAAGAAATCCAGTCGTCAAGGAACCCGTTAGTCTTCACTTTTTTCCTAATTCCCAATTTCTTGCTCTTTCCTTACCTTCTGATGAGACATTTTGAATATTCATTAAAATGACCATGACTTAAGGACAAGTAAGCAGATGTGTGGAAACAGCATTTTATGGCTTTGCATGCTTCTACTCCCCCTCCCCTACTCCTGCCCTCCAGCTAAACAGAGATAGTAAAATGTCCCTAACCTTTCCAGGATCCCACTCCTGAGTTTTTGTCTGAAGTTGTAGAAGCTCATATGTTAATTCCAAGTTTTCTAATTCTGGTTTGGGAAATCCAGGTAGTACGTTGTGTAACTGGAAACCAAACAGCTCCAACCAACTGCCAATGTCTATGAGACAGAAATCGTGAAAGAAAAAACAAACTTTAAAGTTCATATTTTACAACCATTGTTGAAAACCTGAAAGATGCCTCTCTTGCTTTCAGTATGTTCAGGCAATGGGAAGTTAGGGATAGAATTCCCTGCTTTTATGACCATGGTAAAATATCTGGTCTTCTCCCTACAGAGAACCCTTTTGGCTTGTGGACAATCCTAGAGATAGGCTCGAACTCTTTTTTAAATTGTTTTAACGTGGTAGTGGTGCTAAGGTCACCCTGATGGTGATATTAGATTTATCTGATGCAACATAATTCTGAGCTTTGCTTTTATGACATTATTTGTACAAGAAAAGCAGCGTGAAAGGGGGTAAAAATGTGTTCAGTATGTTATACATGAACTTGCGTGGCTTGCTCACTTCAGATAACTAAAGGAGTGCGAAAGAACCTTGTGGGCTAACTGGCAGGAAGAGGAAACATCTTCACAAAGGCATTGCGATTCTGTGATAACATCAACAGAACTGAGTTATTTCAAGTCTGCCTTGCAGTTTTTATACTGTTGCAGTACCTGTGGTATACTTGGCAACATCTTGAATTTTTCCAACCGGGTAGTTATTTTCAAAGGAGTAGAGGTTGAATGGCTTCGGAAGGAGGTTCAGCTCCTTCCATATGTGATGATTGGGTGTTGTCCATCGACCAGCGACAACGTCATAGTCCCTTTGTCCCAGGTGTACTAATTTAGTAAGAAAATCATAGAGTCCTCCATGAAAACCAATGATGACCTGAAAGTCAGGGTAAGTGTCATGATAGATATCACCGTAAGGTGTGTATAATATCTCCTTGATGACCTGACCTCGACTGCTGAACACAGCTAGTGGGGTGCCTGTATTATCACAGGCCACATAATACTCTTCACCACTGCTTAACTCCATGGCAATGAGGTGACCTTGGAGATCATAATACAGGGATGTAATCTCGGAGCTCGTGTGGTTGTACAAATGAGTAACTCTTATGGGGTTGGCAAGGTCTGCATAAAAAAACTGGAGGTGCTGCCCAAGGCTGGACTTGCTGGCAACACGTCGCCCAAGCCCATCATAGTAATACTGGACAGTCCAGCCAGAAGCCTTATTGTAGGCTTTCTGCAGCAGCCCATTCGAATTGTATTCAAAGACATCATTTCCCCTCTGCCTCAGAAAGCCATCTTCATCCATCTTATACTGAATCTCCCCTAATCTGGTGATGCGGTCTCGGAGGTCATATCGGAGAGGGGTAAGACGAGCACTGTTCCCATGGCTTAGCAGGTTAATGTTGCCATTGAGGTCATAACTGTAACGCCACTGGGTTTTGTCATTTACAGAAACAGTTTGGAGTTGCCCGTCAGCATCGTATTCATAGAAGTACCTAGTTATATTGGCATCTACTCCTACCCTTATATCACATATTACCATACGGCCCATATTATCATACTGGATGGTCATCCAGTAGGCAATCGCCTTTAGGATTTCATATTGGACTTCAATGACTTGTCCATTGGCGCTGAAGATCTTGGTGTGCTTCATCACTGTGGTGGTAATGACCTGATTTAAATCGTAATTAATGACACTAAATTTTCCAAACTGCTCCGTTCTACCAGAGACATCAACATATCGGTACAGATCTATGGGCAAAGGGGTCTCGTTGATCACAGCCTGCATGCTGGTGACGCGGAAGTTGTTGTAGCTGTAGTCAAACCGGGCATTCACAAGACCTTCTTCACTGAATCTGAAAATCTGGCGTCCAATAAGAGGTCCTGTAGGAATCAAAAGATGTTAAAAGGTGAGAGAAGAACTAGGTGATCAAATGTGAAGCAATCTAACAGTCTGGTGATGGATGGCTCAGCACTGGGGCATTCACATTCAAAACTGAATAGTAGAGATTGACTTCCGTCATCTACTTCCTGAACATATCACCTGTACAAAGGGGATTCAGAAACGCAGAAAAAAGGCAATGGAAAGAAGTTTCTTAATCTCAAACATTTTTCAATTCCATGTACATGGGTGTGGGGTGTCTTCAAAAAGTTAATGGAAAATATGTATCCTGAAACAACTATGGGTTTGAAAAATTTTGGCACCCAAATCCACTTACCTTTCAGTCCACTTCCTAAAAACTTTTTCAAGTGTCCTTGTATACTCCTGTAGGTGGTATTCGTCAAATACGTTAAAAAAAATCTGGCATAATATTACTAGAGCATAATCTAATTGTGGAAACTACAGAAGTACTAACCCATCCAGGAACCTGGGGTGAGGAAACTGATATGAACAGGCTTTCCTGCTAAAGGTACAGACAAAATGCTTTCATTTCATTTCATCTCTGCTACAAAATCAAAGGGTGAAATTTTGACAAAGCCCAGCACTAAACCAAATGGATCTGGGCAGTTTTTACACACTCCACAGATGAATATATATTCAAAAGTCTTGACTTTTCATAATATTTTGTTATCCACCAAGGCTTACATAGGGCTTGAACTCATTTCAGTGACAAGCATATCCTGCAGCTGCATCTTTGGGAGGCTTTACTGGGGACAAGCAACAGGTGTATGGCTAGACTAGATATGTAGATATCAACTTTCTTGACATCTGCACAAAAAATATGCACTGTATTTTTTCTTTTTTAAAAAAACTAGGCTTTCATGTAGCCTCTAAGTGCTTTAAATTTTCAGTAGGAGAGGATGTGATAGCTCAAGTGAGAATTGGTTGGCTTGAATGTGTACTGGTGTTTCTCAGAATACAGGAAGTGAAAATTTCATGAGGAAATCCCAATGTGGTACCCATCCGCACTCCTTCACAACATACCCGTCTGCCTGTATCTGATTGTGCAGATGAATCCATCATGCATCAGGTGGATTGTCTTAATCACTCCAGAAGATTCTTCGTACGTTAACGTGACCTGAGTGGTGTCGTAGAGAATCTCCGACAGCCTCCCTTGCTTGGTGTACTTGTGTAGAACTCTGCGCCCTGTCCCCAGATGCAGGGTCTGCAGGAGTCGGCCATCTCGACTATAGTCTTGGATGAAGGAAGTGCTACTGTCTGGTGGGGTGTAGATGTTCCGGTAGTAGCCCACGGAAAGCATGGTTTGTAAGCTGTGGCGCACCATGCTAGGCATGGTGACTGACAGGAGACAATCCGATTGGTCATATTCAAAGATGTAACGCCGCTGGCTATGCAGGAGAAGCATCACGGACTGCAATGAGACAAAAGCAAAATCATACAGGAATTATCGACTTCATAGGGTATGATGTGGCTGTGAAGTTAATTCTGTGAAGTGATACTCGAGGTATTATTCTTCTTCAAATTCATGCCTTTTGTTTCGATTCTCATTTTTATCTAAGAGAAGCATTACATTAAGAGTGAAGAATTCTCCGGTTATGCAATGCCTTTTTCCTGAAATGGATCTGTTTCAGAAATATTTGTTGAGAAATAATACCTCGTCTGAGAAATAACAGGTTGATCTCATTTTAAACAGTTGTGAAAGGGGCACTGTGCTAAGGAAGACTCTGATTCACTAACATTTAACTCTCATGAAAAAAAAAGCAGGCCCAGCGCAGTAGCCTAGTAGCTAAAGTCCTCACCTTACACATGCTGGGGTCCCATATGAGCACCAGTTCCTGGGAACCCCATTTCCCATCCGGTTCCCTGCCTGTGGCCTGGGAAAGCAGTCAAGGACAGCCCAGAGCCTTGGGACCCTGCACCCATGTGGGAGACCCAGAAGAAGCTCCTGGTACCTGGCTGTGGATCAGTGCAGCTCTGGCTGTTGTGGCTGCCTGGGGAGTGAATTATTGGGTGGAAGAATTTGTCTCTGTCTTTCCCCTCTCTGTATAGCTGACTTTCCAATAAAAATAATTTTTAAAAACCCAATTTGCTTCCTTTTATTGGTCTGAAAAGCATAAAGCAAGCCTGCTTCTGCTGGTGGACTCTGCACACGCCTGCTGGATCTGGCTGAAGCCAGGCGTCCAGAATTCTATCCGGTCTCCCAGGTAAGAGGTAGAGACCCAAGAACTTGAACTATCTCCCGTTGCCTCCCAGGGTGCCTAGCCACAGGAGGCTGGAATTGGAAGCGAAGCTAAAAGCTGAACCCAATATGAGATGCATGCATTGAAAGCGGAACGCTAACCTCCATGTCACATGGAGGTTGCCTGACACCGACCATCATCTCTTAGTGAAGAACAAATCCTCATTCCTGGAGAGTCTGCTCTACCTCCCAGGGATAGTTTTACTGTTCCGCTCTTGAGAATTTCCTTATCAAGCAAAGGGATTTAACTGAGCTTTATATTCTCAATGCTATGTTCTGAAAATGGAGTTTTTTTTTCATTTTCTAAATATAAATAACATACATATTTATGAACATGAATTACATAAACATGTTAGCTCTTCTAAATATGAAATTATACTCTGATATTGGATGTGCTTTCTGAAACTGAGTCTCCTCCTTACCTTCGGAGACCCTACAAAATCAGCCATTGCTCGCTCATTCATTCATTCATTCATTCATTCATTCTCTTCTAGCAACATTACGCCTGAGGATCCAGGGGTGGGAACTGAAGCCCTGTCAGCTTGCCACCACTGTGATCTCTGAAAGCTTTCCTGTAATGCAGGGGACTTGGAAATTCTGCATGAGTCTGGGGACAGGAAGTGAAAAGTGTCTCCCACGAGTGAAGAGGAGCTCACTAGACCCAGTAGGGAATTTGCACAGACATTTGCTAGAAGGCGGTGGTTGGCGGGGGCGGGGGGGTGTCAGGATTAGGAGATGCCTTTTCATGATCTATACTGAAAGAGTTCATAGCTCTTTTCAACTTTTCTGTCAATTGTGCATGAGCAAATAACATGCCACCTGTCGTGTGGGCCAAGGCAATATGGCCACCAAGCGTTATCTAGTACTAGCCTGCCAGGGCCGGGCCGTCTCCAGTCACTCTGCCAGCCTTGCCATTCCCAGCACATCGTGATTGTGTCCGCTCCCCATCTCGCCCTCCAGCCTGCGGCGAAGGCACTGCTTGAGCCCTACGCCTAGGTGCTGCTGCCCAGCTGTCTTAAAAGCTCCCTCATCTGTTTTAAATCCTCTTGCCAAGGGCAAAGATGTGAACGATGTGATCAGAAATCTCATGGATGTAAGCACTGTCTTTCTAGAATACAATTTCGTTAACATTAGACTGCTTTCTCGCTTTGGGTGAGCATTCTCAGCTGGTTCAAAAACAATGCTTACCAGTCTAATGCCTGCAGTGCTGCCACGGAATAAAAGGCCACTCTCTATTAGCTCAAATAACAGAGTGATGGGACTTTTATCATTTTAATTGACTGTGAAATTCTAAAAAAGGTTTTTGCAAAGAAAAAGCATCATGGCTTGTATACGCAATTTGAATGAGAAGCTAGAGCAGAAATTTGAAAAGCTAAAGCACACGGGTGACCACTAGATGGCAGTGTGCGGCCACCTGGAAGCTAAAGCCGAAAACTGCATTCTCTAAGTTGCATTTGAAAACTTTAGCCCCAAAGAGGAATTTTGTTCAAATGCATTAACACTAAAGCATTTTAAATTATTATATAATGCATTTTCATTCATTTAAAAATAAACTGACAATGATTTCAGGACACTGAAAGACTTAACATTTCCAGTAATACAAAATTTTGGCCTCACAAGTCTTTAAAAAAAATTCAGAGAAGCCTCATGAATCAAGACAGAGAATTAATGATCATATAAAGAAAATTTAGGAAACAATAATTGACTTTCTTTAATCGTGAGGAAATCATTTAAGCTACTACAGCCATAGTCCAAATAATTTTTTTCCCACAAGTTATAAAACATGGTGTATGTAGTAAGTAACTTTTACTTACTCTAGAGGAAATGAAATTATCTTTGCAAGACTTCTGCATGTTAAGGTGAAGGAAACAACCGCTACGTACGTACACATGGCGTAGACACACAGGCGTCTTCCATTTTCTGCTTCACTATCCATTGCCTGCAGTAGGCAGGGCTGGGCCAGGCTAAATCTAGGAATCTAAAACTTAATCGAGGCCTCTCACGTGGCTGGCAAGGCCCCAAGTGCTTGAGCCATCATCTGCTGCATCCCAGGGTGCACAGCAGTGGCAAGTTGGAATTGGAAGCAGAACCCAGGCCACAACTGTCATCCTAAGTGTCACTTCAATTGTTGTGCCAAGCGCCTGCCCTTACTGCGGCTTGTTGGCATATGGCAGTTACAGGTATGGCAAAAATATGTAGAAGAAACGCCAGAACGATTTGGAGGTGTAAAAAGAGACACATTTTAAAGTTTGGGAATTCCTACTTTATGGTACCAGAAGTACAGCCATTGGCCCTGCTCTGTCACAATGAAAGAGTATGTCAGCGAAGTCATGTTACAGAGGAACGCACAGGACACAGGGAACGGGCCTCAGTGAGCCAGTGGTGCTCGTACACGCATACATGGCATCTCGGCTGATCCAGTATTCTTTCTCGTCTTCCCTAGAATCACCATTTGAAAGCTGTTTTTTTCCCCTCCCTCCATCCATCCCTCTTTTCTTTCCTTTTGTTGTTTCTTGTTTTGACCTGCCTTCAAGCGGCAGTACCTGCAGGCTAGCATTTCAAATCTCTGATGGGGTGTTCTATATTGTTTCATCTAATCATCACATTTATTCAATGAGTTAGTTATCACTGGCAATGGTAATGCTAATAAAAGCAATTTCACAATAAGTGAATTTTGGAAGTAAAGAACCATTCTACATGGCATTTTGTAGGTCCCAAGTTTTGCATGATAGAATTGCTTAAATCGAGACTATTCTTTTAATTACAGACAAATTAGACATGCAGGAAAGGATAACCGTTAACTTGAAGGCATAGTGACTTCATTTGTCTCACTGGTTAATAACCTAGTCTCCCGAAGTCACTGCAGATTTCCTGGTACATTATTTTGGGTAAGATCTTACTTTCAGTCTACTGTAGATGCTGACAATCTTAGAGGATTTTTTTTTTTTTGGTAAGAATTATTGCCAGGTAAGTTTCTATAGCAAAGAGAACTCACGTCAGGTTTGCTTCATGAGATGCTTTGTTTGAGCAAATCTCATGAAACAACCAGCTAAGTCAGCAAAGGGCAACAATACAACCTCCTCCCTGGTGTCAGAGAAGAGGCTAAATAACTCTATCCGGGGGGGGGGGGGCAGAGGGATAAGTTTTTGGGTGGCAAAAAGGGAAGTCTTAGAGGCCTAGAACTGACTATCTAGAGACAGCTCACTTGGTCATATCACAGTGCTAATGAGGTGGGGGTTGTGAGTTCAAATCCATCCATGCACCTAGGGAGTGAGGGCTACTTCTGCCATCACATGGAGGATGGAGGGAGCAAACCCATCCTTGCTTCTGGAAAACAAACTTAGCAAGCTTTTGTCCTGAAGGTTGCAACCTACACTTTAAGGAACACTTGACCTGTGTATCTCTCTCAACCAATGTTTGCATTCAATTAATATTGCAACAAGTTTGTCACTTGGGATTTGGTCACTTGTCCTGGGATTTGGTCAATCATTCTAGTTACTGAAACTGGAAAAAGGGAAAACCTGACTTTGTAGATTCAGACTGTCCCCATGTAGGCACAATGTGTTTTTCAGCGAACAGACAAGCTTAGCACGATTT